CATATCATCAGCAAAGACGGAGAGTTTGACCACTTCTGTTCCGATTTGGATGCCCCTGTCCTATCTAAATGTATTGGCTAGAACCTCCAGCGCTATGTTAAATAGTAATGGTGACAGAGGACAACCTTGTCTGGTTCCAATTCGGAGACGAAAAGCTTTAAGTTTTATTCCATTCAGTAAAATATTAGCTGTGGGTTTGTCATAGATAGCTTCAATCAGTTTAAGAAATATGCCACCTATGCCTATACTCCTCAGTGTTCTAATTAGAAAAGGATGCTGGATTTTATAGAATGCTTTTTCTGCATCTATTGAGAGGATCATATAGTCTTTGGTTTTCTTTCTGTTGATACGGTGAATAATGTTTACAGACTGTGTATATTAAACTAGTCTTGCATCCCTGGGATGAAACCTACTTGATCATGATGCATGACTTTTTTGATAATAAGCTGTAATCTATTGGCTAGGATTTTGTTGAGGATTTCTGCATCTGTATTTATTTAGTGAAATTGGTCTGAAATTCTCCTTTTTAGTTGGGTCTTTTCCTGGTTTTGGTGTCAGAGTGATGTTGGCTTCATAGAACACGCTGGGGAAGATTCATTCCTCCTCAATTTTTTGGAATAATTTCTGCATTATAGGGATAAGCTCTTCTTTGAAGATTTGATAGAATTCTGGTGTAAAGCCATCCAGACCAGGGCATTTTTTTGTTGGGAAATTTTCTATTGTTTCTTTGATCTCAGTGATTGAAATTGGTCTGTTCAGGAGCTCTATTTCATCTGGGTTAAGTCTAGGGAGAGGGTGTAATTCCAAATATTGATCCATTTCCTTCACATTGTCGAATTTCTGGGCATAAAGTTTCTGGTAGTATTCAGAGATAATCTCTTGTATCTCTGTGACATCAGTTGTTATTTCCCCTTTATCATTTCTGATTGAGGTTACTAAAGATTTTACTTATTTCTAGTTTTAGTCTGGCCAAAAGTTTATCTATTTATTTTTTCAAAAAACCAACTCCTTGCTTCATTAATTTTCTGAATGATTCTTTTATTTTCAATTTCATTACTCTCTGATTTAATTTTGGAGATTTCTTTTCTTCTGCTGGGTTTAGGTTTAGATTGTTCATCTTTTCCCAATTCCATCAGATGGCTTGTGAGTTTGTTGATATGCTCTCTTTTTGTTTTTTAATGTAGGCTTCTGAAAGTGATAAGTTTTCCTCTCAGGACTGCTTTTGCTATATCCCATAGGTTTTGGTAGCTTGTGTCTTCTTTGTTGTTATGCTTAAGGAAGTTAATGATTTCCTTTTTTATTTCTCCCTGCACCCGACTGTCATTCAGCATAAAGTTGTTTAACTTCCATGCCTTTGTATGAGGTTGAACGTTTTTCATGGAGTTGAGTTCCACCTTTAGTGCCTTGTGATCTGAGAAGATGCAAAGTAAAATTTCAATTCTTTTGATTCTGTTGAGGTTTGTTTTGTGTCGTAGGATATGATCAATTTTAGAGAATGTTCCATGGGACAATGAGAAGAATGTACATTCTTTATCTTTGGCATAGAGTGTTCTATATATGTCTACCAAGCACAGTTGTTCTAGGGTTTCATTTAAATCTCTAGTATCTTTAATTTGTTTGGAGGATCTGTCCAGCTCTGAGAGAGAGGTGTTAAAGTCCCGTTATTATGGTGTTACAGGGTATCATATTGCTCAGACTAAGCAACATCTGTTCAAGAATCTGGGAGCATTTAAATTGGGTGTATAAACATTTAAAATTGAAATTTCTTCTTGTTGTAATTTTCCCTTGATCACTATGAAGTGACCATCATTCTCTTTTTTGACTTTGGTTGCTTTAAATCCACATGTATCTGAAAGTAAGATTGAAACCCCTCTTTTCTTCTGAATTCCGTTTACCTGAAAAATTAACTGCCAACCCTTAACTCTGACTTTTAATCTGTCTTTTGTTGCGAGGTGTTTCCTGCAGACAGCAAACAGATGGCTTATGTTTTTTAATCCAATCAGCCAATCTATGCCTCTTCAGTGGGGAATTCAAGCCACTGACATTGTGTGGTAGCGTTCTATTCAGCTTATTTTGTGAAAGTCCATTGCTTAGTTTTGTCTTTTCCATCATTGTAGAAACTAGGTTCTGTCCTTTAATTTCTGGGTGTTTACTTTGCTGGAGGTCCATTGTGATGGTCAGTGTGTAAAACAGGTTAAAATATATCCAGTATTTGGAAATACTGAAATATACCAAGTATCCTGGTCTTGTGGCAAATTTCCTCAATGTTTGCATATCAATAAAAGATTTGGTTTCTCCATCAATTTTTAAACTTAACTTAGCAGGATATAGAACTCTGGGCTGGAAATCGTTCTGTTTAAGTAGATTAAAGCTAGATGACCATCGTCTTCTGGCTTGAAAAGTTTCATTAGACAAGTCCACAGTCATCCTGATAGATTTGCCCCTGTAGGTCAGTTGGCGCTTACTCCTGGCAGCTTGCAAAATCTTTTCTTTTGTCTTGACTTAGATAGTTTCATCACAATGTGCCTTGAAGAAGCTCTATTTGACTTGAGGCAACCAGGGAGCCAATATCTCTCTGAAAGGAGTATGCCAAAATCTTTGGTGATATTTGGGAAGTTTTCATTTATAATATTCTCTAGAATGGCTTCCCTTCCTCTAGGGCATTCTTCTTCCCCTTCTGGGATACCTATCACTTGTATGTTTGAATGCTTCATAAAGTCCCACAATTCTGTTAGTGAACGTTCTGCTTTCTCTCTTCTTTCCTGCCTCTTTAACTATCTGAGTTATCTCAAAAGCTTTATCCTTAACCTCTTAAATTCTTTCTTCTGCTTGACCTAATCTGTTGTTGATACTTTCTATTGCATCCTTAAGTTCCCCAATTGACTGCTTCAGTTCTTTCCTTTCTATATTCTTCATATCATTCATCTCTTATTTGATACTGTTTTTGGATTTCCTTTTGGTTATTTTCCACTTTATCAGCAATTTCCTTCATTGTTTTCATCATCTGTATTCTAAATTCCCTTTCTGTCATTTCTAACATTTCTTTATAAGAGGAATCCTCTGCTGTAGCTACCTCTCAATCCCTAGAAGGGGTTACGCTAAACTGGTATTCCATGATGCCAGGATTTTTCTGCTGATTCTTCTTCATGAGTGCTTTCTTGTATCTACTTTCTTACCCTAATTGTCCTTTCACTTCTTCTGGCTCTTTAAGTAACTCTGCCTCTGGCCTAAAGTTTTGATGAGTCCTTTTGGTACAGAACCAGAAGGATGAGAAGATTAAAGAGCAAGAAGGGGAAAAAAGATTTAAAAAAGAAAGAAAAAAGAGAAAGAAGAGAGGGTGAGTAAAAGGAAATATTGGCAAAAAGAAGAAAGGCACCGAAAGAAGGAAACAGGAGTAACATAGGTGCATAGTAGGGTACTATGACCCAACCTTAAAAACCCCCCACCTCTGGGGGTGCTGGGGATGGGTGGTTCTCTTGTGGTCAACGGCTCTTTGCCAGCCAGATTAGACACAGTACTCCATCTCCACCAGGTATAGAGGAAATACAAAAATACTATAAATCAAACCAAAACAAATAAGCAAAAACCCTTATGGGATAAAATTGGGGAGAAAAAAACAAATAATAGGGGCAGAAACACTGACAAAAATGAAATTCTAATTGTTAAAGAAGACAAAAATAGAAGCTTGTATTTAAACTAGAATAGTGGAAAAAAGAAAGAAAAAAGAGCAAAAAGGAAAAAAAAAATTAAAAAATGTCAAGGAAAAATGTTGAAATTAAGAAAAAAGAAAGAAAAAGAAAAAAAAAACCCAAAACCAAACAACCAAGCAGTATATATATCCTGCTGAATGTTGTCCAGGCAACAGGTAATATTCTGAGGTATGAGATGTAGATCACAATATTAACACAGCTGTTCAACATGGGAGACTGGAGGTCTCTGCAGGTCTCTCAAACCCCGCAGGCTTGGGAGTCCAAATGTCTCTTTAGCCCACTTAAAAGACACTCCAAACTATGAACCTTGGCCAAGCAGAAGCTTTCCAAGCACTTATCATTGGGATCTCTCCTGGCATGGCCTCCCACTTATCCAGTGTGCCAAATCCAGACTCCCCCTATGGCCCTGAGGCCTGCGGCTGCTAATCTGCCAAACACTTGGATCTCCACACTTCCCCAGTGTCTCAGTCCCTGCCTTTAGGCAGCTCAGGCACTAATTTACTCAGCTAAGGTCTCCTGGATGATTCCCATGCTGCAACACACAAGGGCAGCTCCCCAACAGTAGCTGTGTGGGTAGCCCACAGCTGAACGATATTAGCTCCCCTCTGGCTCAATGGCTCAGTGCCAGGCCCCAGACAATGCCCAAAGTCGTCCACACACCCACCCAAGATCCCCCAAGGCAGTTCAATGGAGTGCCCAAGTCCAAAAAAACCAAAACAGCCCACAGGTAAGGCTATGCCTGCTTGCAATCTCATTGTTACTCAGCTGCCATCTTGGAAGTCAACATCACACTTTTTTTTTTTTTTTTTGAGACAGAGTCTCACTATGTCACCTTCAGTAGAGTGCAGTAGCATCACAGGTCACAGCAACCTCCAATTCTTGGGCTTAAGCAAGTCTCTTGCCTCAGCCTCCCAAGTAGCTGGGACTTCAGGCACCGGCCACCACACCCAGCTAGCCCAGGCTGGGTTCAAACCTACCAAACTCAGTGTATGTGGCTGATGCCGTAACCACTGTGCTACAGCGCCGAGCCAACACACATTTTGCATTTTAAATCAGTGATGAAGTTTAGTGAGGGAAAGCATGTCAAAAGCTGAGACAGTCCACGAAAAAAACTTCAAGATCAAACAAAAATAATATTCTATTAAGAATGAAGGCAATATACAAAAATAAATTATAGCAGGACCGCGAAATTAAGACAAAATTTTTTCTTTGAAGATTATATGCATGCTGCTATGATATAATGTTTTTCAATTTTAAAAAAAGGGGAAAAAAATAAAACCAGCAACTTGCCTATCAATGCCAGTATCCAATTTCATCTCCATTTGTTCAATTATTTCTTTTTTCTTTTGAAGGCATTCAGATAACTTAGGAGAAGAGCTATTGTATATTTTAAAAGGAGAGAAAATCACATTAATAGCCTTATAAATTCTAAAACTTTTCATATATTCATAAATACATGTTAATTTGTTCACAAATCCAAGAAGCACATAATTATTTGGCATTCATTACACCCAATGTATCACAATAGTCACATGAAACAACCAATTAAATACAAGAAAGAAAAAGATTTGTTATTCTGATCCCTAAGGAGACATCCCCTAATTATGTGATTTTGAAATTGTTGAGATATTTGGTTTCCTTTATAAATAAATATCTAGTATAATAAGAAAAGTCATAGGATAATACCAGAGTCTTAAGAATGCTGTAAATTATTCTAATTAAAATTTGGAGGCTAATAGCCAGTCTAGTTGTATTTAACTTTCCTAATTTTAAAAATACCTGACAATCATATTTGTCTTCTGAGTGCTACCAAATGTCAAAACACCAAAAATAACAAGTCATGTGCAACCCTAATTATGTGACTTCTCCGGTGTGTGGACTAACAGCTCTTTAAAAGTAAACTCCTTTTTGCCAAATCTACTCCATAGATTGAAGATCTGGTGGTAAGCCTCCATAACAGCATAATATTTTCCCTTTTCAAAGTATCATAAGTGATTTTGAAACAGCTTCTGGACTAGTCTTGGCATATCAGTGTTATGACAAAATGCCAAAAAATTTATGTGATTATTTTTCTTCTTCAATAACAGTGCTGAAAAGACAATTTTTCAAAGCATGCTCACATATACATTATTTTTCATATGCTTAAGAAAGTTTACATAAGTTGATATGTGCCTCATCAAAATCTGTCTCAGAAAATTATCTGTGTCTTAATAACAAGTAGACTGTGTCTGCTGAATCTTTTGAAGTATGTCATATTTGCTGAGTGTCACTATGGAGGTCCTCTTTCATAACAGATTTCAGTTTTAGGTTTATGACAGATTAAGTCTTTTCAAACATACTGAAATTAATAACACAGTAAAAAAAAAAAAAACAGAAGGCAAGAATGAAGAAAAAGAACTTTTACATTTTATTTCATACTTCTTTCATACTGCTTTTCCGGTATGACATTTTTATAAACATGTCCTACTTTTAAAAATTTAATTAAAATCTATGTACAGTATTATAGCAGTCATCAAAATGTCAATTAATTTGACTAACCTTATTAGTGGCATAAGGTGATCATTAAACTGCTTGTCAAAAAGATGGAAAATAGTATTGGCCTGCTGCACAACATCCAAAAAATAGAGATTTGCATTCCTAGAGTCTGAAGAAGGAATTCCTAAAATAGGAAAGCAGACATATGTTAGAATTATCCTTGAAGAAATTCATCTTGGCAGTAGAAGAAAAGAATTTGGTTTTACATACACATGAGTAAAAGTAACTTCTGTTTTACTAAATCAGCAATGATTTTTATGGAAAGAAGAGGAAATACATAAATAAGCATGGGGTTAATTCATATATTAACAAAACTCACAAAGTTTGGTTCTTAATTTTTCACCATCTTCTTAACCTTCATGATTTGCTTAAATTCAAAAAAAAAAAAAATTAGGCTCCTACCCTTTCCCAACCCAGTGATTCACATGAAACATGAATACATTCTTACCATTTTCCTTTCCCTTTCTGATAATACTTATGTTTTTTCCTTTACTTTTTTTTTTTTTTAATTATTTTTATTTTTGTTTTAGAGATGGGGCCGTTCTCTGCCACCACAGGTGGAGTGTGGGAGTATGACATGGTTCACTACAGCCTTGAACTCCTTGAATTCAAGTGACTCTTTTGCCTAATTCTGAGTGGCTAGGACTATAGACTTACGCCACTACACTGGCTAATTTTTTATAGAGACGAATTCTCACTCTGTTGCCCAGGTTGGTCTCAAATGCCTTAGCCTTAAATAATCCTCCTGCTTCAGCCTCCCAAAGTGAAAATAACTTTTATGTTGGTCTTCCTTATCAAGTCTCTTTATGTTTTATCCTATATACCACTGCCATAGTAATATGTCTAAATTTATACATTTCACTCATCCCTAGGTCTCTCCACTATTCTCTAAAAACTCAAAATCTCCTGATTTTCAGCAAGGTAATGCAGCCACTACATATTCTGACCTCAAAATGTCAGTTGACCTCTCTACATTTCAGTTTCCCAAGATGAACTCAAAGGTTCCCTATAGCTCTAGATGGTAATTTCTCTAGCTAAACTTAAAAGATATAAGAGACTACGAAAAATGTTCATAGCTAATGAGAAAATATAGGCTAAATATCTAAAGTTCTTTATAGGATGATGATTTTTTTCCAAATCTAAACTATGTAAAACAAAGACAATTTTTCTCCCCAAGATAAAATTACCAGTTAAGAAAACTATAGTTTCTGGCTTGGCGACTATGGCTCAAGGGGCTAAGGCGCCAGCCACATACACTTAAGGTGGCGGGTTCGAATCCAGCCCAGGCCGCCAAACAATGATGGCTGCAACCAAAAAAAATAGCCAGGCATTGTGGTGGGCGCCTATGGTCCCAGCTACTTGGGAGGCAGAGGCAGGAGACTCATTTGAGTCCAGGAGTTGGAGGCTGCTGTGAGCTGTGATGTCACAGCACTCTACCCAGGGGGACAGCTTGAGGCCCTGTCTCAAAAAAAAAAAAAAAAGAAAAGAAAACTAAAGGTTCTGGTACAAATAAACTTACAAGAGAAAAAATATATACATTTAGAAAATGTTAACCTTTGTTATTAATGAAAAACGTAACTATTAAGGCAATATTGATTTTTTTCTTTTTTTGAGACAGAGTCTCAAGCTGTCACCCTGGGTAGAATGCCGTGACATCACATCTCACAGTAACCTCAAACTCTTGGGCTTAAGTGATTCTCCTGCCTCAGCCTCCCAAGTAGCTGGGACTATAGGTGGTCCGCACAATGCCCAGCCATTTTTTGGTTGCAGTTGTCATTGTTGCTTAGCAGGCCTGGGCCAGGTTCGAACCTGCTACCCTAAGTGTATGTGGTCGGCACCCTGCCGACTGAGCTACGGGTACTGCCTTGATGTATATTTTTAATCACTAAATTAAAATTTTTAAGGAATACTCAATAATTACAGAAAAACTGAAACACACCTATAGGCAGCAGCAACAAAAATTGGTAAAGGAAAAAAATCTTTAGAAAATGTTTATACCAAGAATAAAAAACAAAAACATTATATACCAAAATTTTTAAATTTTATATGCACATGCACACACACACACAAAAGCTATCTTACACTTTCATTGTGGGATTTTATCCAAAGAAAATAAATCAAAATAAGGAAAATACTTTAAGCTCTACAATGTTCAATGTGGCATTATTTATACCATTACCAAAAACCTGAAAAGATGTTAAGATGTCCAATAATGGGGAATAATAACCTTAGATGTACACAATATAATTTTATAAAATCATTAGAAAGAACAACAGTAAATGCTAATTAAACAGCTGCATGGAAAAAAACTTAAGAATATGAGGAATCTTCCTATCCTACAAGGAAATTTCTTAAGCCTTTCCAAATTGAGAACAATGCCATTAAAATGAAGATGCCAGGTTTCCAGGCTAGCTAAATAATAAATCCTACATCCCACATAGATATAAATTCATGTTACTTTATTATCTTCACATCTTTGAGGTATCACACCCATACAAATCACCATATTAAGTCATTTGCGAATGGCAAACATTAAATACTTGATGTCAAGGGTCTGCTCTAATTAAGCCTTAAAAAATGCTTATCCATGCCATAAGAGTAGCAGTGTGAAAAAAATGGGTAAGAAAAACCAGTTAACTAAAGTGACTGCATTGTGACTAATTTTGGTTCAATATAAGAAACTTTGCAAAATGTTACAGTCAATAATGATTTTGAGTAATCTATATACTTCCTAGATGCTCAAGTACAACAATGAATAAAACCAACAAAATTCCTACCCATAAGAGTTTACATGTTACTGTTTCTACATAGAACTCTTTCTCCAAATATTCAATCTACTCTTTCACTTCATGCAGCTCTCTGGTTCGTATGTCTCCTTTGAGAGGCCTTCTCTAACAACCCTTTCAAAAAAAATGCCTTTTACCCTTGAATCTTCCAGCTCCCCATTATTATTCTCTATCCCTCACCTACTTTTATTTTTCATTTATCTATCTTTTCCACAAGAATGTAAAATGCCATAGGTATAAGAGTAAGCACCTAGTATGTATTAAATGAATGAATTCTGGTGAGTGTAGGCATTAGTAGATAAAAATTTCACTGTGGTTTTAGTACTACAAAAAAGTTACTACAGTGGGGCGGTGCCTGTGGCTCAAAGGAGTAGGGCGCTGACCCCATGTGCCTGAGGTGGCGGGTTCAAACCCAGCCCTGCCCAAAAACTGCAAAAAAAAAAAAAAGTTACTACAATGATGGGATAATGAGTTACTGGGCTGGGAGAGGAGGGTGTCTTTGGCTAGAATGATCAGGAAAGGCTTTTTTAAGAAGATGACATCTTAATTGAGATCATATGGTTGAAAAGGCAGCCATGAGAAGAGCTGAGGGGAGGGGATTTGGGGAGTGGGGAAACATAATTACAAATAGCCTAAGTGAGGGGAAAAAAAAGCCAAAGTGACTTAAACAGTGAGAGGAAATGAAATATGAGATGAGGATGAAAACCTAAGAGGGCAGACCAAAAGCCATGCTTTTCTAAAGAGGGCTGGTTTCCCTCTAAGACTAATAGGAAGCTACTAAAGGGTCTGAACTAGGGAAATAATTAAACTGTCTATTAAAGTCAGTAATACAGGGATCACTTACAAGTAGATAAATAAAATGGAATTTAAAACTAGGATGTCATCAGTGGAGATGGAGAAAAGAAAATGAATTTGAGTTATGTTTGGAAGTATATTCATGTTGTCAATGGGTTGACTGTCAGGGTTGATGCAAAGAAAGAATTAAGGTAAACTCCTAGCTTTGAATGAAACTTGAACAATTAGTAAATGGCAATGTCTTTTTTATTTAATTGACACATATTGGTAATGTCTTTTCACAACATGGGAAAGAATGGGAGATGAAGAAGTTTAGAAGGAAGATAAGAGTTTCATTTTGGATATATTAAATTTGAGTAGGCAACCAGATTAATGACACTCGAATACAGGACATTATTAACACTCCTGACACTATTAATAGTAAGTCCAAAAGAACAAAAGCTAAGAAAAATATACCTTTCCAGGTTATCATTATTATTATTATTATTATTATTTGAGATAAAGTCTCACTCAGTCACCCTGGGGTTTAGTGTCATGGCTTCATAGCTCAAAGCAACCTCAAACTCTTGTGCTCAAGCAGTATCTTGTCTCAGGTGCCAGAGTAGCTGGGACTACAGGTGTCTGCCTGGCTAGTTTTTCTATTTTTAGTAGAGATATGGTCTCACATCGCTCAGGCTAATCTCAAATTCCTGAGCTCAGGCAATCCACCTGCCTTGCCCTCCCAGAGTGCCAGGATTACAGGCATGAGCCACTGTGTCTGGCCCAGATTATTTTCTAATGTTTTCCTTTCTAAACCTTACTTAATTCCCCAAACAATCGTTCTCATCTTCACTTCTGTTCCTTGACAATTTATAATTTAAAACAGTATATTAATATTACATATTGTGCCACACATTGTAGTGATTTACGTAGCTTATTAGTTTACTCTGCTGGTTGTAAATAAGAGAACCGTTTTGTATAGCTTTTAATACCTAGGAATCTTTTCATGATAGAAGCATTCATTGCACTGAACCGAATTTCACATGCAAAGATGATTACATATAAAACAACATTATGCATATACTTTAGCCAAGCGGGATGAAAGGAATTTAACACAAGTGTAACACAAATATACTTACCAGCAAGTCCTGTTTCCAAAGCATAATCAATATGCTCAATACATAAAAATTCCACAAGAATGGTAAAAATTCTAAAGGCATTCCTTGGTAAATCAGAAGGATCAGAGAGCTTTAAAATAAACAAAAAAATCACTCAGGACTATCTTTTTAAAGTCAGATTTTAACAATCAATTTTGCGTAAGACGTAATATTTCAGGTACATAATAACTCACATTTCACCCACCCCCAACACACACACACAATAAAACTCCGTATTTTTCAGTAATTCTTCTGACTTATAGAGTAGTGTTTCTCAAACTTGCATTGTAATCTATTGTGAAATCCAAGTAACTTTCATAAAAGACACACACATATGCACGCACACAAACACACGTATATGTGGTACATATAATGTACACACTGGGCTACCATGTAAAAAGCATTTCTCACTGCAGGCCTGAACAAATAACTGGTGAAAGAGTACTTACGGGTACGTGAAAAGATGTTCAATATCAATCATCATTTCATTAGGAAAATGAAAACTAAAACCATGAGCTATCACTACACATGCTATTAGTTTAGCAGTTTAAGAAATACTAAATGATCCAGTTGCATCATTACTGTCTTTGAGATTTATTCATTTTGATACTTGTAACTCATCATTTACTGTATAGTTTTCTACTGTATAAACAATATCAGTTTATCAATTCTTTTTTTTTTATTAAATGGTATCTGTATACATTAATGCAAACATGGGGTACAGTGTAGTGTCCTCATATACATTTTGAAATACTTTCATTAAGCTGGTTCACATAAATTTCATGTCATTTGCATAGTCATTGTGTCAAAACATTTATATTCTAGTTCTAGAAAAGTTCACCCTTGTTAGACAGAAATATAGGTGATCTTTCCGGTCACCCTCCCACCACCCAGCCGCCCTTCTCCGCTCCCCTTCCCCTCCCCCTCCCCATATTCTTGGGCTAGAATTAAGTTGTATCTTTCATTTGAGAGCTATAAATTAGTTTCATAAAAGGGCTGCGTACATATCAATTCTTTTTGACACTGAGTTTGCTTCCAATTTTTCACCATAACAAGTTATGCTTCATAAATGTATGAGCTTCTCTAAAAAACTGCCAAATTACTCTTCAAACTGCACCAATTTTTACTCCCCTTAGAATTCCTACAACTCCACTTCATTACCAATACTTTATCATCACACTTCTTACTTTATGCCAACCTAACGAAAATGAGATGGTATAATATTTCCCTATTTTAACTTTCATTTCCCTATTGGTAAGATTTAATATTGCACTGGTAATATACATTTTCTTTTTAATAAATTGCTTATGTGTAGTCTTTATCTTCTATGAATTTGTTTACATACATAATTTATATTGATTTACTGTCTATCAATATAGAGATCATATACATCAATGTAAATATGTAGATTATATGCATCAATATAATTAAAAAGTTAAGACTGTCCCTCAACTCTTACTTCCACTGTTTAAGAACTTCATCTATAAAACAACCTTACAGGGTTGTTTTAATGACTAAATGAGCTGATACATGTATGTAAAGTGCTTACAATAATGACTGGAAGACAATATGTATTCTAAAATTATCAGCTACTATTATTTATTTATTATAATCTTTTGCTAGCAGTACTGTTTATGAATACTTCGTCACACCCTGTGACTTACCTGTTTACTTTGTTTAAAGTTCTGTTTACAAAAAAAGGGAGGAAAAGTGTACTTATTAAGGAAAGAAATTCTAAATTTTAATGGAGGCAAATTTTTCCTCTTTCCCTTTGATGTCTACATTGTTAAATACTGTTCTTTCCTTGAAGTGTCATCTCTTGGTGAGAAAGGTCTCAACTTCCTTTTCAAATCTTTTAATCATGCAGAAAGAATTTGATCTTCTCTACTTTAATATATAGTTATATTAAAATTTATTCTTAATTATAAAGTAATTATGTTGTCTAATAAAAGTCCTATATAGAGGGTGGCACCCCCAGTGCGTAGGGCGCCAGCCACATATACCCAGGCTGGTGGGTTTGAACCCAGTGTGGGTCAGCTAAACAACAATGACAACTGCAACAAAAAAACAGCCAGGCATTATGGCAGGCACCTGTAGTCCCAGCTACTTGGGAGGCTGAGGAAAGAGAATCATTTAAGCCCAAGGGTTTGAGGTTGCTGTGAGCTGTGACATCACAGCACTCTACCGAGGGTGACATAGTAAGACTCTGTCTTAAAAAAAAAAAATCCTATATAGAACAGCATATTGAGAATAAATTTTAATTACAAAAAATCAAATTTTAGTTAAAAAAATTTTATTACAAAAAATATTTGTTGGGCAGCGCCTGTGGCTCAAGGAGTAGGGCGCTGCCCCATATGCCAGAGGTGGTGGGTTCAAACCCAGCCCCAGCCAAAAACCAAAAAAAAAAAAATAAGAAGAAGAATAAAATAAAATAAAAATGATATTTAAAAAAAATATTTGTTCTTAACTAACGAGATTTATATCTTAGTATAAATAAGGCAAAACGTAAACATAAACAACTATATACAGTCCCCACCCTATCTATGGGTCCTGCATCCATGGATTCAATCAAATGCAGATCAAAAATATTTGAAAATAAAAAGGGACAGTTGTGTCTGTCCTGAAGATGTACAGACTTTTTTTATCTTGTCATCATCCCTAGTTGTAACAACTATTTACACAGCATATACACTGTGCTAGGTATTATAAGTAATCTAGATATGATTTAAACAAAGTGTACAGGAGGATATGCATTGGTTCGATGCAAACACTACACATTTTATATAAGGGACTCCAGCATCCATGAATTTTGATATCCACAGGGGGGTGCTGGTGCCAAATCCCCCCAGATACCAAAGGACAACTATGTATATAGAATAAATTTACAATCACTCTTACCCTGTGGCATCTTTCAAAGGCTTGCTTGGTTTCTTGTAAAAGATTAACCACCACTTCCTGGGATAGAAAAGTTTCCCCATGAGTGTCGATACTTGGCCCTAGTGGTAAGTTGGTGCGTTGTCTAATTCTCTCTTTCAAATCTTGAATACTAGTACATCACACAGACAAATGAAAAAAAAAAAAAAAAACCAAAAAAACAAAATACTTTACAAGAGATTTCAACTTCAAGTATTCTCAATCTTAGTGTATATATATATATATATCATATATAAAAATGAATAGCCAAGAGATCTAAATTCAAATTCCAATCACTACTTTTGTAAACCGAAGCAAGCCTTGATCTTTAAATAAGAGATTTTCATATGAATAATTATCAGATTTTGGACTTAAGATCTTTAAAGTCCCCTTCAGCTTTACAATTCTGACCTAATAGCCAAAAACATTGGGTTTCCTCAGGAAATGAGCTATTCCAAATAAGTTAACATGTCAAATAGTTAAATGGTTCTGTTTAAAATCAAAAACTTAAAATTTTAATGATTTTTAAAATATGTTTAATTCTTTAAACACATTACACATTTCTTCACCATCTTAAACAACATATATTAAACACAGCATAGCTTTCTGAATGACCAATGGTTATGTGAAACATTTCTATATGGAGTATCTTCAGGTTAGACATTTTTTTGCTCCTAGAATACATCACTCCAGACTACTGGAATTCATTTTTTTTTATTTTTTATTAAATCATAACTTTGTACACTAATTGATGTATTTATGGGGTTCAGGGTACTGCTTTGATATACAATGTGAAATGCTTACATTGCACTAAAGTAACACATCCATCACAATTATGCTCATTTCTTAATAGTTTTGAAATGTACCACTGCATCATGCACATTAGGTGAGGTTCCCCCAAATACCCTCCCTACTCTCATATCCGCCCCCCCTCCTCTTCCCTTCTACTTTCTGGACTACAGTTATGTTTTGCCATTTGTATGAGCGTATAGGTGGTTATATACTGATTCACAGTAGTATTGAGTACCTTGGATACGTTTTTTTCTATTCTTGAGAAATGGAAAAGAATATAAGATACTAAGAAGAATATGTTCCAGCTATACCCATGTAAACATAAAAGATGTGAGGTCTCCATCTTTTTTATGGCTGCATAGTATTTCAGGAACTCTTTTTTTTTTTTTTAATTTCCTATGATTGCTCTTTAGTTTTTCTCTTCCCTTCCTTGCTACTACCTTTCAGATCTTACTCCTAATTATAACTTCTGATTATTTGATACACAATGAACTGGAAAAAAAGAAACTGGGTTTAGATACGTATGTGGACTCTGGACCAGGGGTGTTCAATGTACAGTCTATGGGCTGCATGTTGATTTTGTGAGGATATTTTTTGCTTGTCTATGGTGTTGGATATCACAAGAAGTATGCACAGACCTTTTATTTTTGGCTAATCAGCTTTTGTTAGTGTTTGTGTATTTAATGTGTGGCCCAAGACAACACTTATTCTTCCAATGTGCAGCAGAAAAAAAAAAAATTTGGACATCCTTGTTCTGGACTCTGGTGATATGGCTCCACAGAAGCCATTCCTTCTCCTTCTACAATCAACCAGGTTCCCAGGTTCCAGGTAGTTAAGTTCTAGTAACTGAGATGCCAACAATTCTTATAGCAAGTCATTTCCTTGCAGTACATAAATAATTGTAAGCTTTAAGGTATTCATTTAATAGCTGTATGCCAAAGTCATTGAAAAGAATCATCAGTACAGGGTACCTAAACAGTGAACTGTTTGCTTTTTATTTTTCACATTTGCAGCAGTAACAAAAAAAATCACGTGCTTCCTAGTCAATAACCTAGAATAATTTACTCTTTATATTACTGGTATTGTTTCATAGTTTTCAAAATTAATTTTTTTATTGACAAATATCTGCTTTATATTTTAATCATGTTATGTTAGGTCCTTTTAACATGTTGTTTCAAAGTAGAATTTGATCAATAATATAAACAATCTAGGTTAAATGAATTCTTGAATTAGAAAATTGTAATGACAGTCAATATTTGGTAAGTTTGCCCAAATATAATAGTTCTTAATATTTTCAGCTTTAACCATAATATTTAACAAAATACTCACCCTCCAGTGCCAATAGATCTCTTTTGGTGGTTTTTTGAATCATAATAGCGCTGTAGGATCATAGCACTTCTGCTTTTCAAATATCCAGTCTCCACCTCAATATAGTTCTCCAAATAGGAAATGAAAATGGATTTGATAAGCTTAGACAAGAAAGTCTGTTTATCAGTACCTAAATTAAACTCCATCAACTTGCTGGAAAGATTGGTGGTTCTTTTCATGGAAAAGGGGGAGAAAAAGATTAATGTATATTTTAGGCATAGTAATACTACTGAAGAATATAGATTTTTTTACAATGTGATTTTGACAACTTATGTTAAACCACCATTTCTGAAACCTTGGAAGAGTACTTAGGGTGCAAACAGCATCTATATAAGGTTATAGAGAGAGTAGAGTAGAACACTACAAACAACATTATGGTTTTGAGAACTGGCATAAAGCTCATAGAAGAAACTGTGAGACAATGAACTAGTCCAGGAACAGCAATAGGAGCAAATCGGCCTAACATATGCTCTAATGCCATTCCACAGCTGTCACCCAAAACAGAGTACTGAGAGATCTACTCTCTGTTCACCCTCTTTCTTCTTTGACTATGTGGACTATCCTCTAATTTTCTATTTCTCATTGTTTGACACAGTGTTACCATAATGTTGTTGACATGGACTTCCTCATTATAGTAACTTTAGAAATACCTTCTCCCAAAATGAAGACACTGAAGAACAGCAAGAGAGTTGGAAAAAGTCAAGGGGGGATAAAAAAACTCCACAGGAAACTTCTGAGATGATCTAAGAGTAACAGTGCCATTTACAAAAGCACAAGACAATTCTTCCATCACACTTTAGGCTGAAACTGTTACTTGTTAAGAATATGTCTCTTTCTTCTATAATTTCTAAAGGTTTACTGCAGATAAATGAAATTATACTAGTACTTAGAGAAGAAAATTAGAAATAGTAAACTAGCTCAGAATTGGAATCAGAAGCAAAATTCTTGAATCTTAGTTTAAACAAGATAAACAAGATCTTATGTTTCATTAAAGTACATTAAGCTAAGAATAATATCTAATTCCTCAGGTTAATGTCTTAAGAATGCTATTCTTGTACAACACTAGTTTATATAGCCACGCATTTAATGCTAAAAGGTATATGGCTATCTGACAAACTGTTATTCAAAAACACCTAAATACATCCCCATTTTCTATTAAAAAAATAAAAAATCTGAGATCTATTATTTTCTAATAATTAAAAATATACCTTGTATACAGATCATAGAGATTTTTGAGATACTGCTCTGCATCGGACTTCCTACATTCTTCTAACTGGTCTTTCACAAAACTCTAAAAAAAAAAGTCAACATTCTGTTAATATTAAATTCTATGAATTTCTCAAGATATTTTTTTCCTTTAAAAAGCACTCTAGTTTTGAACTTTTCTGACTTAAAACCCAATCAAAAGATAATGCATAGAGAGCAATCCAATTATAAAAAATAAAAAAATAGGTTTTTTAATTTTACCACTTCTCATATTCACCTGTACAAGATCTATGTCAGTTCTTAGAAATAAGTATTACAAATTTAGAAACACTAGGCTTGGTGCCTGCAGCTCAAGCCTAGGTGCCAGCCACATACAACAGAGCTGGCGGGTTCAAATCCTGCCAAGGTCCACTAAACAACAATGACAACTACAACCAAAAATAGCCAGGCGTTGTGGTGGGCACCTGTAGTCCCAGCTACTTGGGAAGCTGAAGCAAGAGAATTGCTTAAGCCCAGGAGTTAGAGGTTGTTGTGAGCTTGTGATGCCACGGTACTCTACTGAGAGTGACAGCTTGAGGCTCTGTCTCAAAAAAAAAAAAAATTTAGAAACACTAAAATTGGCCTATCTTGCTTCATGAGATACATCAAAATCAAATATAAGAAAATAAAACTTAGGCTACCACAGAGTCAATTCCTTAGAACAGTATTTCCCAAACTGTGGTCTAAGGAACATTAGTGTTCCTTGTAAAATCAATAGTCATTATTCCATCATAGGATTTTGTGAGCAGTAAATGCTGTATAGCACAACTTCACCTCTAGAGAATCACAATACACACAACGACCTTTAAAGACTTCAAAAGTCCCAAATTGTCTTTAAAAAGCACTTACTGAATGTTATTTAATCTACTGATAAACAGTTTAGGAAATGTCTGACAACGTGCTGGCATGGAAGTCAAGGTTGTAAACAAAATTTCTGTTTCCTTTTCATATTAGTACCATATTATAAAAAACATTTCTACAGATTGCACTTGTAATTCTTGTTCAATTTCATAAATAATCAGCTACTGGTGAAGGCAAGGACCAAAACCAGAAAAATCCAAGGCTACTTTACCACAATACATTACCACTACTGCTGCTACAAATGCTGCTAATGCACATGCCCTGGTAACACTCACTAACTAGCATCTTATTCTTGGTGAGTAACAAACCATTTCTTTTAAACCAGTCCCTTTCCCCTAAACTAGAACACTGCTCCTAGGTCACTATGTACATAAACTAAATTTTTAAAAATGTTACATAATAGGGGAAAAAATCACAAATTGCCTTAATAATTACTTAATTTGTCACTGTTTAAAATTACCTGTAGTTTGATTTCAAATACATTTTGAATAAGTTTAGCCAGTACTGTTTCTGGATTACTAAAGATATCTCCAACTTGCTTGTTCACTCGCTGACAGAGCAGTGCAGCATCTTCAAATATATCACTTCTCAAGTAAGCACCCTAAACAGCAGAAGCATTGTGCACAGTGAAAATATAATTTCAAAAATGATTTTAAAAGACAAATTAACATAAAATGAAATCCAGTAAACTGTATTGTTATGTTACCTCCTGGCACTGCTTTATATAAACATCAACACAATGGGAATAACCCTGCAAAGAAGAAACACATTCTTATCATTCTTATTCACTTAAGAATTGAATTCCAGTTCAATAATAATAATAATAATCTCAATAAAAGAAGTGTCTGTTATACACAATAAAGCTATGTCTATGACCCATTGAATGCCAACAATAATTGTTATACTTAAATAAAATTAACTGTAGAGACCCAATGACTTAATTAGTCTAAGTCTTTTCTCATTCACTTTCTATGATGAAATTTAGCAGTTGGTTTATATCCTTGTTGGATTTTCAATGGAAAGAAGAAGGGTGAGATATAACTGGATCCCTTACAATAATTTTTGCCCTATGATCATCTAGCTATCTCCTTCAACTCCAAAACTCACACACAAACTGATACAAGGTCTTCAGAGAAGGTTTTACATATATATGTTTCCTTCTTTCCTGTCCTGGATTTAAAGCATTTGTGTTCCCTTATAAGAATCTGGACAGAGGTTTGGTGCCAATAACAAACATAGTGTTTACGGCTCCAGTCACATGTACCGTGAGGCTGGAGGGTTTGAACCTTGCTCAGGCCAGCTAAACAACAATGACAACTGCAATAAAAACATAGCCAGGCACTGTGGTGGGTGCCTGAAGTCCCAGCTACTTGAGAGGCTGAGGCAAGAGAATTGCTTAAGCCAAGAGTTTGAGGTTGTTGTGAGCTGTGATGCTGCAGCACTTTACTGAGGGTGACACAGTGAGACTCTGTCGTAAAAAAAAAAAAAAATAGGAAGAAAAAAGAGAATCTAGACAGAACTATATATAACTACTTGTCTGAAAATCTGCATTTAAAATTGAATCTACTTTAATAAAATGTGTTTAAAACAAACTAATCTGACATATTGAGCTCCATTATGATCAGATTTTTACCTGTTAACAGATCATACATAAAAACAAGTAAGGTAAGCAATAGGAAGTGTATCATTATCACTCTAGAGCCATTCTCAATACTCATTCAAATGTTACCAAAATGAAAATAACAAACAATTTCTCATTTCCTATTCTGATAGAAATACGAAGAAACAGATTGAATGAAGAACTATTTGAGCACTTTCTTTGCAGAAATACACCCCTACACAGGGATTCTTTCCCCAATTCAAATTCCAGAAAACCAGTCCATAACATAACATTTCTTTTCATTGCCTTCTCAGATGCCTTGAACTTTTTTTAAGTCTTTTCCTAGTCACACTCCATCTACTCTCTGGTGCCTACATTCCATCAGATACTTATGGTCAAGTTTTTTTGCTTTTGATCTATTTCCTAACATGTTTGACTGAAAAAAATACATTAAAAAGGAAGAAGGAAGATAATGTGATTTATAAAACTATAAAAAAATTCACTGATCTATTAGTATTTATGAAAATTATCACTGTGATATAGTTATACAACTAAAAAGGATAATCTTATATATTATAGAAAAAAGAATACATTATTAAAAATAAATACAAATTAAATAAATAATAAATAAAAATAATACATTTACATTGGAGTTATAAAATCCCCATAACTAAAAAGTAATCTTCATTTTAAATTTTTACTATTTACCTTAAAATGAAGTAAAACTGCTGCTACTTCTCTCATTCTGGAGATCTCACCTCTTCTTTGAGCACTGGTAAACTCTTGAATCAGTTGGCATTCTAAATCATGATATTTACCTAAAAATAAAGTCATTCAGCTATACTGAGGCATATAAAGTGTCCAACTTATTTAAGAGTATTCAATTACTTACAAATATAATAACTATGTATCTCACTTTCTTTTGAAAGAATTATAAAAACAACATGAGATCAGAAGCAGTGGTTCTAGCCCTCTAGAACTATGCACTGTGGTACATATATGAATCTGTTTTTTTAAGACATAAAAAAACTTCCAAAGTAGTAAACAGGTGTGCTCAAAGGGTTTCTTTGCCATTTATTGCTGTTACTTAAACCAGCAGCTGAATGAAAAAAATCTTCCAGATGTCACTTCTGATAGCAACAAAAAGAAAAATCTTTATCACAAAACTATGGAAAGGGTGAAGAAGACTACAGAGATGAAGAGGACTCTATTTACCAGAGCTTAGACGTCTCCACCACAAACTATGGTGGATTGAATAACAAATTTCATTTTAAGATAATATGTGGTATTCACTACATTCTTGAGGCTACTATGGCTCTTCATGAACACCTGAACTTCAGACTACCTATAGTAATCAAAAATATTCCCAGGATATCCAACTATCTGTGTAACCCTTATTCTAAGACTTTTGGAATCAGGTGATTGTTTGATAGACCCCTGTACCAAAGACCACTATATTGTACCAAGGTACAAATACAGTGGTCTTTCCAGAAATCTAGAATGATCTAGCCTAAAACACAATTTAAGACTGGCAAAAATTAAATCATGTAAGAAATTAAGCTGGTACTGAAATAAAATCTTAACTTTTTAAAAAAAAGATGCATATTCAGAAATATACATATGGGTACAAAACAATTTCTAATATAAATATATTAGAAGGCTAAGGTCTGCCTATTTGTGTAGTATGCTATCAATTACAGTAGAACCTCCATAGTCGATACCCCCCTACATTGACCACCTTCTTAAGTTAACGTAAATTTCACAGACCATGAAACATGTACACATGTACATATCAGTGTAGCAGGCCTAGTTCCATACATTGACTACCTCTGTACATTGACCAGTTTGTTACACTCCCTTGGGTGATGAACTTACAGAGGTTCTATTTTTAAGTAAATAAAAACAGGAGAACTATACACTGTAGACAGTGTACATATGACTTATGCCTTACGCATACATATCCATAGATTATTCTGGAAGAATACTCAAGCAATGGGTAATGGTTTTTCAGGAAAGGAGAACCAAACTCAGGGATTGGATGAGAGTAAGATATTGTTCCTACTTTCTCTCCTTTTGCTGTTTTAGTTTTCTTTACTTATTAAAAAACAAAATTAAATAACTGGAACCACACTTACTTGCAATTTTGGATTTTACTTCTGAAAACCTGAAAGATAAAAACCAATACTGTATGTTTATTAGTTGTGACAAAAACACTCTGGCAATGTAAGATCTGACAAAAAATAAAATAGAATAGGATACATGAGAATCTTCTGTACCATCTTTATGATTTTTCTATAAATATAAAACTACTGTAAAATCAAAAGATTATAAAAAAAAAAAGAAAAAGAAAAAGCCAGACGAGAATATACTGACAGAAAGCATACCAGCAGACAAAACTGAATTTAGCTAATTCAGATGGGATAGCTGTTACTCATTGAGAAAATTCACATTCCCTTTTCAGAAGTGGGAAGAATTCCACATAGGGTACCAACAACCCAGATAGTTCTAAAACTGAGATATCGTTCCTATTCATATTCACTAGCATTTTAAATTTACTTATTTATCTGTCCCCCATCCTACTGGCATTTTTTAAAAATAAAGTTAATTAGTACGCATGTATGTATGAATATATGTATTCATTTGTTTGACCCTATTGCCCAAGCTAGAGTATAGTGGCACAATCACAGCTCACTGCAACTTCAAACTCCTGGACTTAAGCAATCCGCCTGCCTCAGCCACCTGAGTAACTAGATCTACAGAAGTGCACTGTTTATGTCTGACTAAATGTTTCATTTTTTTGTAGAGATAGGGTCTCACTGTGTTGGTCAGGTGGGTCTTGAATAATTGATCATCCCACTTTGGCCTCCCAAAGTGCATGAACTACAGATATGAGCCACTGCACCTGGCAAGTTCCATTATTATTATTTAAAAGAAAAGGATGATAAAATAATTTTCTGTATGATAATGACACAGTAATTATAAGTGATAATGATATAATAATAACTATTATTTAAAACATAAAAGCCATGATAAAACCTTAAAATGATTAATGATAAAATAAAATATACAAATAAATTATTTTAAAATTAGAAAAATATTGACTCAGTGCCTGTGGCTTAAAGTGGCTAAGGTGCCAGCCACATACACCTAGGCTGGCAGGTTCAAATCTAGCCTGGGCCCACCAAACAACAATGACGGCTGCAACCAAAAAATAGCTGGGCATTATGGTGGACGCCTGTGATCCCAGCCACTTGAGAGCCTGAGACAAGAAAATTGCTTAAGCCCAGAAGTTGGAGGTTGCTGTGAGCAGTGATGCCATGGCACTCTACCCAGGGCAACAGCTTGAGGCTCTGTCTCAAAAAAAAAAAAAAAAAAAATTAGAAAAATAAAAGAAGCCATAAAAAGGACCCAGTATTATGCCCAGCAATCATTAGATCTTTATGAATCTAAAAACTAATATACCATACTTTAGTATTCTTCAAATCTCATATAAAAAGGGAATGCTGAGTATGAAAATCAATGTTCTAAGATTCTATGCAATTGTCTGAAGAGAAACGAGAGTGGCTGATAAAAGAGATGCTGAAGACAAAGAAGGAAATAAATTTTTAGAGTGGCATGCAAAAATGATTTATCAAAGTCATGGTAGATCACAAAATGTATAAAAGGCTATATTGATCTGTGTGGAAAAAAAAATAAACCTAATTAAGTCTCAGAGGATATTCAACTCCGAGCTTGGTGGAAAGGCTAAAACAGAACTATAACAGCAGTATGTACACAGGGTGGAAAAGAGTATATGCATGCTGTTCCAGAGGAAAAGAATAAAAGGCACAGAGGGGTGAGGAATGTAGCTACTTACTACCATGAACCTACTTTGAGCTAGACACTTTTTTTTTTTGAGACAAAGTCTCACTGTCTTGCCCCCAGTAGAGTGCTATTGGCATCACAGCTCACAGCAACTTCAAACTCTTGGGCTCAAGTGATCCTCTTATCTCAGCCTCCCCGATAGGTGGGACTACAGGTGCCTACCACAATGCCTGGTTATTTTTAGAGACAGGATCTCACACTTGCTCAAGCTGATGTTGAATTCCAAAGTTCAAGCAATCTACCCATCTCGGCCTCCCAGAGTGCCGGGGTTTACAGGCATGAGCCACTGTGCCCAGCCTGAGCTAGACATTTTACTTATTTAAGAAAATAGTCCAACTGTAAAAAGAGAGGATGGTTTTTGATGAATGATTTCAAAAATTATTACAGTAGGCTTGGCACCTACGGCTCAGCAGTTAGGGCGCCAGCCACATACCCTGGGGCTGACAGCTTCAAACCAGCCATAGCCCGGGGCTGGCAGGTTCGGGCCTGCCAAACAACAATAACAACAATAACAACAACAAAAATAATTGGGCATTGCTGTGGGTGCCTGTAGTCCCAGCTACTTGGGAGGCTGAAGCAAGAGAATTGCTTAAGCCCAAGAATTTGAAGTTGCTATGAGCTGTGATACCACGGCACTCTACCAAGGGCAACAAAGGGAGACTGTCTCAAAAAAAAAAATATTACAGTAAATTAAATCACAATTTAGGGCTAGTAGATTAATAATAATACCTAAAGAATGACCAGTGATCATTACTGCTAAACCTTTGTATAATCACAGAGTTAAGAGTAAAATAGATACATTTTTAAGGGAAATTCATATGTTTGGGAGATAACAGATATGGTCAGGCATAGGACTCAAGCCTATAATCCTAACACTCTGAGAGGCCAAGGAGAAAGAATCCCTTGCGCTCAAGAGTTTCAGATCAGCCTGAGCAAGAGTTAGACCTCCATCTCTACTAAAAGTGGAAAAACTAGTCAGGTGTTGTGGCAAGCACCTTTAGTCCCAGCTACTTAGGAGGCTGAGGCAAGAGGATCTCTTGAGCCCAAGAGTTTGAGGTTGCTGTAAGCTATGATGCCATGGCACCTTAGGGCAACAGTGTGAGACCATGTCTCAAAAAAATAACAATACATTATCTGTTATATTGAAAGTCCTATTTCTTTCAGATATTCACATTGATGAAGTTCTACTAGCATGAGTTTAATAGAGTCTGACATTCCAGAAACTAGAGGAAATTATGAAAAAATTTCCTTCTCAGTAAAGTTTATTTTTAGATGAAATCAAATTTAGTGATGGCCTAACTCCTGTCATTTAAAACAGGGGTTCTTGAAGTCTCTAGGAAGGATTCTGAGGATATAGAGTCTAGAATTCCATGAAATTATATACCACAGTCCATGTATATCTTAATTTTTTGAGGAAATGTTACAGCTTTCAACAGCTTTTCAAAGATATCCAAGACCCCCAAAAGCTTAAGAACTTTCATCAGAAATAGAAAAAACAGCTAGATAGCCCCATGCTTAAACTCCTCCCTACCTGGTTCTCAAGGTTCTAAACATGAAAATTCAAAATTTTACTTCAGTTTCACAATTCTCCATCAAATGTTTTGTTCAAGACAAAGGACTGAAATTACTTGAAGGCATACTGTTAAATTCAGATATTAAGAGTAGACCATGTTTTCTCAATAAACTATTTTATACTGTATATTGTACAAAGGAGGTGCTCATGAATTCTGTTTTAATAGGCAAAGAAAACCATGTAGGAAAAAATGCAATTTTATTCTACAAATTATAGCTTATATCCAATGTTGAGAAATAAACTTGCCTATCAAAAGGTAACTCCTGGGCGATTAGGTGCAACTTCTGAATGATGTCAGCTGCCTCTTTTATCTATTAAAAAGTAAATAAAAGCTATTAAAAAAACTCATACATATCAAAAAATTATATATTTGAAAACAGTAATATCTCAATATGCCTGCCCACAGTCCCTTCACCAAACAATTTTCTTTTAAAAATCTGTAACAAATAAAACTTTATGAACAACAGGAATACATTTGGAATACATTTTATTTGTCACCAATAATGAGTCAATAAATCACAAACATGTATCTTTCTGGCAGTAAATCTGGCAATTTTTGAATACCACAATCCTTCCCAGTGAAACCTGTAGTTCAGGTTTATTCTGAAAAAATTCAAATCATTGCTTGCTGAAAGGCCACATATAAATCTCTTCTTTTAAATTTATGAACCCAAAAAGGATAAACAAGATTTATGAAAATAATTGAAGACATACCTCTGTATATATCTCACTTAACGCTAAATGAATTAAACAACTAAAAGCATGTTGTTTAATGACCATATAAATTTAGAACATTTGTTCTAAAAGCAAAGATTAAGTTTAATATAAAGTCCCCTAAATGAACTATAGCAGAGTAATTCCTTAGTTCCACAATTAAGGAATTTAGGCAAGGGACCTGTAATTCTCTAAATGCAGGTATCTGTGCTTATTTATACCATTGTGCAGAGGAGTTAGAGAATTTTTATTTTTTCTTTAAATTTCAAATTAGTACTGAGTTTTATTTAGGCATAACTTTTAGCTGATTTTATGGTAACTTATTTTCTTTTACATTCAAAAGGGAGACTGTCATAAACATAAAGAAAAAACTAAGAACATTAATATAGATTTTTCTAAGTACTCATGTGAATTCTGGCAAACAACTGTGAATAACAACAGAGACTGTTCCTACTTCTTGCTCCAAATGATAGCGAATATAGCATTTCTTCTTCGCTTACCTTCTCTTTCCTAGCTAGCAGGTCACTGTCATTTTCAACTACCACATACTAATACTACCCTGCTACATATGGGCACAGGTATCAGTGCAGTATCTCTTTACCATACCTTTTAGTCATACTAGCAAAGTTTGTCATGTTATCCTTACTAATAACCACTATAGAAAGAATACATCAGGCATACAGCTGGTTCTATGTTTCCATCAGGAAACATAGTTTATTCTTCTTTTTAGAGATAGAAGTCCTCATTGTGTGCTGTTTCCAAGCTTTGCTTAATATAGTAAGTAGTACAATAAATAATACCTGCTTTTATTCCATTCTAATTATTTTGTGGAAATTGTTTGAAGCAAAAGTAGCTCTTAAGGTTACAAAATACTGCAGTCAATCAGTTAAATTATACTACAATACTGTACAAAAAGTACAAAAGCTGTCAAAAGCACAATCTAATAATTTGCTTACATCTGTTACTGGTATTTGGGTAAGGCAAGAGAGTACCCACTCTAACAGTGTTAGAGATAATCAGAATCATCAGGCACTATCCACATGACGAATCAGCTGACATTCTAGGAAGAGAAACAACCAACATACACATAAGGATGGAGATAAACATAAAATAAGGTTTGGGTTTTTGTTCCAAGAAAGAAAGTTTTTCAGGAAAAAAGCAAAGATTAAAAAATAAAAAATAACAAGGGAACAATAAGAAAAAAGAATACGATGTGTTAAAATTTTATTCAATTATATTTCCTCCCACAATCCCAGCTCTCTCTAGCTATGTGAGTGGTTTTCCTTTTCTTTCCATTGGGAGGTGACTGGCACAGATTTGAGTAACTGAGATAGTCAGATGTTTATCCAATAATTGGCAATCTAATGCCATATAAGAGTTCCTAATTATGGTTAACTCAGATGAAACCAATTCAAAAAGAATGATTCTCAATTATTAAACAGTAACCCGAAACTTGTGGGAAAGAAAAAAAGTGGGAGAGAAGAAAATAACAGAATAATTGGGAAAGGGGAAATAAAGTATAAGAAAATAGGCAACGTAGGAGATAAAAGAAAAAGGGATATAGATGAGAGTAAAGCAAAAGAAAAATAATCCTAAATACTGTTAATCTATACTTGTTTCTCAAAAATTACAGATGGCTGACTAACCAAGTGAATGAAAGAGCAAGAACATAAATTTTTTTTCTTTCAATTAAAACCTTAAAAATTAAGAGACAACAGTTTACACCAAGGACTATACAATTACTTGAGGATAATTAAAAAAACAAAAGTATAAAAAACATAATTTTGTGATTCAAAACATAACAACCACAAACTCTACAAATCAGGTTAAAAATATGTAAAAGCAACTTTAAAATATTTATTTTTCTCTGATTCTAAATGACTACCTCAAGCTGCATTCAAATAAAAAGGCCAACTCAAACTGGGTAAGATATCTGCATTTTGTTTCTAACAGAACATAAGTAAGCTACACAATTAAATAGGTACAACCTAGTTAATCCAAGGTAGCTGACTTCAAGTATATACAATTTTTTATATACAAAAAAGAACTTCTTATAACATGTTCATAACAAATAAATACACTCACAATATGTTCTAAATGTATGTTTATATTTAGAAAATTTAAAAAGAAAAAGAAATAAAACAGTCCACAAAATATCCTGAAAACCAGTTTGGTGTTCAAGCCTTATATATACTCATACAAAACTCACATAGATAAAAGCTAGGTTGTGCCAGTATTTCACAGCTTTTCTGTATCACATTTTTCTTAATGATAATCTTACCAGTTTTACTTTATAGTATAAATATATATTTCTAAAACCCATTCTTTAAAATATTGCCTTTAGAGGAATTATCATATTATACATGTTACCATTTTTCAAAGCTCTGTAAAAATAATAAATTCTATAATTTTATACAGTTCAACTCACCAAAAATGTATTGCTTAGTTAAAAGTGAACTTAGCTTTTAACATCTCACTATCTGAGATAGTCTATGGAGCAAATCTGGAATAATTCAGGGAGACAACATTCAACATGTAAGTGGATAGTGTTACTATGTACATATACAATCTATAAGTGCATTTTTTATATGCATTTTAATTTTTCCCCTTTGAGGGGAAGTAAATCACCTTTTTTTTTCTTTTTTTTGTCTTACTATGTCTTGCTGTAGTATCACAGCTCACAGCAACCTCAAACTCCTGGACTTAAGTGATTCTCCTGCCTCAGCCTCCCAAGTAGCTGGGACTACAGCTGCCCACCACAATGCTCCGCCATTTCTTGGTTGCAGTTGTCATTGTTATTCAGCAGGCCTGGGATGTGCTCAAACTCGCCAACCCAGTTGTATGTGGCTGGTGCCCCACTCACTGAGCTACAGGCACCAAGCCTAAATTACCTTCTTTAAAGATGGTATAGCAAGCAATAGACCAGAATTAAGTAACCAGTGTTATGAAAAAGATAAACATAAACAATCAATTCCTCGTGGTCCAAACTGCTTTAATTTTTTTTTAATTTCAGATTAATATGAAGGTACAAACGATTATGTTACAACGTTTGTATTTGTTAGATAAAGTCCCTGCTGTAGCTGTGCCCCTTACCCATGAAATGTGCCACATACACTTACACTGTGCCTGTTAGGTGGGAGCACAGTTATCCCCTCCCTCTTCCCCCCCCACCTTCCTTTTCCCCCTCCTCCTGAATTTGAATTGAGTTTTTCTCTTATGTGGGTGTGTACTAGATTATCTACACTGGATACTTTCTTTTCCATTCTTTTGACTTTACTAAGAAGAATGTGTTTTGCTTTAATTCTTTATAAGAGATCTTTATTCAAATAATAAAAAGTAGAAGTTCTAAATTCCTTTACAGAAAGATACTTCACTTTGTCAATGATTTAGGTCAGACCATCCTACCACCAACCAATGGACCGTAACTATTCAAAGACTACAGAAATTCAGTTAAAATTAAAAGTCAGTTATGGTAAAGAAATACTTACAAACATAGTTACCTCAGTATTTCTAAGCTACACATGATTTCATGAAATACTAAGCAACCCACTTAAGATTTTATCAGCAATCTATAGGCAATTGTATTATATTTCAGGACAATATAAACTTTTAATAAGTCACTACTCAATGATTTGATGTCAGACTCTGAAAAGCAAATACTATAGCTCATAATTAGGGCATTGTTATGAATACTGTGATTTGCTTTTATCCTCTGATAGTGCTTACCTTTTCAGAATTTGTAAAAACATCAGATTTCAATTCTCCATCAAGAAACTCATTAAAGTATTTCATCAGTTTCTGAGCCTCCACTGCACGCTGCCTGGGTGTGTTTACCCCCTCCAACTGGTCTCCAAGGTGACAGACTTTGGTTGCTACATAGCTAATGTGTTCATCTAGTTCTTGGAAATGTTGAAAGGCAACCTGGGAAAAATGTACATAAGCACAAAATACATTTAGAGAACTCAGTTTATAATTTAATATACATCAAAATTAAACTACCACTCTCATCACTGCCCTCAAAGATAACAAAGAAGTTACATAATCTATAAAATTCTGCTCATTAACATGAAATGATCTCAAAACCTGTTAACTAACTTACAAAGTTCTAATGAATTAACTATTAAAATATTTATTCTAAATACATTTGCTAAGATAATCATCAAAAAAGCAAAAGCAAAGCTACTTATTAAACATCTTGTTTAACAAAGAACATGGCACCATTTAGTCCTAAATAAATAATCCTGAAAACAATGAACTAAGTAGAAAAAGGTCTAGACATCTAAAAAAAAACTCTCTTGCAATTAAAGTGAAAAAAACAAATGTGTGTCAGTAGTAATAGACTGATCAAAACTGAATATTTAACATTTATTTTAAAAATTTCAGAAGTAATGCTAACATTATATACAGTGTCCATAAAATTTGTGCAATTCAAACTGCTATGTATACCCTGTATAAAATAAAACTGTTCTTTTCCAGTTTTTGAAACAGAAAAGACTGCTGGCAATTATCCTACCATAACAAAAGTTTATTACTTCCGAGAATACCCTTTCCCTTCTCCCAGGGTATACTGCTTATGCTGTGGTAGATAAAAATGGTGTGCCTTATGAATGCTTTATAATTTCTAATAGCAGAACTGCTGATAATCTAGTATGGTACTTTTGTTTTAACCTTAAATTAAGAGAAGAGAAAAGTAAATGTAAACATATACTGAGGACTGTACTCGACACTGTTCTAAACATTTTACTTGTATTTACTTATATGATCCTCTTGTGAACCCATTTTACAAATGAAATAACTAAAGCACAGAGAAGTTAAACTGCTTGAGATTACACAGTTTAATTCAAACTCAGGCAACTGGCTTCAGGGTTGATTAGTTTAACTATTAATACTATATATTACCCAAGAGAAAACTGCTTTAAAAGGATCTAGAAATTGTCACCTTAATTACTTAAAAACACATTCCCTTATAAAATCTGGGTACAGTGGCTACTGCCTATAATCCTACCAGTCTAGTAGGCAGAAGTGGATGTCAAGGCAGGTAGATCCCTTTAGCTCAGGAGTTCTAAGCCAGCCTGAGTAAAAACAAGACCCCATCTCTTAAAATATAGCCAGGCATTGTTGTGGGTGCCTGTAGTCCCAGCTACTCGGGAGGCTGAGGCAGGGAAGATCTTGTGAGCCCAAGAGTTTGAGGTTGCTGTGAGCTATGATGCCACAGCACTCTACCAAGGGCTACAAAGTAAGACTGCCTCTAAAAAAAAAAAATTAGCCAGGCATTGTGATAGTTGTCTGTAGTCCTAGCTACTCAAAAGGCTGAGGCAAGATCACTTGAGCCCAGGAGTTTGAGGTTGCTATGAGCTATTGATGCCATTGCACTCTACCCAGGGCTACAGAGTAAGACTATCTCCAAAAAAAAAATTTACTTCCTTAATTAAAGAATTTCGTACAGCCACATATGCTTAAATGAAGAAATTTACATAACTGAAATTTTAGCAGAAATTAGTTTGCTAATCCCTAACACTGAAAAACTAAAAGCTCCTAGGAGGCAGCAAAGCTAAACAATACCCTTTAAACTACACTAAGAAAGGGAATCAAATTCCAGATCAGGCCCAGCCTATGAAAGGGATTCAGAAGTTCCAGATTAAGTCCAGGATCTAAGGGTGACTAAGCTTGGCCTACTTAGCCTGAAGACCATCCTGTGGTTTGGTTTTACTCTAAAATAAACAGAAAAGAGTTCTGTGTCTGCTTTTCTCATAGGGACACTAGAATTCTCACTGGGGCACATACCTCATGACTTCTGTGGAACTTCCTTGACTAGATTTTCTCTACGTGAAAAATCTGATCCAGGCAATAGCTGGTCTTGTATTACTTTGTTTTATGATTAAAGAGAATACAAATGACTACCTAAATATCCAAGCTAATAAAGAGTCCTTAAACATACAGGTCCACTGACATATCATTCTTGAAAGTTTGCCCTGTTACAGAGGAAGCAAGAACCACACTGAATTGGATACACCCCAAACTAAGAAAGGAATATTGTGATCCCAAACTAATACTCTGTAGAAAGAATGCCAAAAGTACTTGATAACAACTCATTAACATTTTATCCCACAGGATGGGAGTGGTAGAGAGAAACCTGCACAGTTACTACCATTTGACTAGATCTTTTTTAAGGGCTTAAAACTGGAAGGAAGTAAAGGTATTATTATACAGCCTACATAAGTCAATCATTGTTTAGCTAAATATTTACCTGATTGCTTTTCTGAAGCTCTTGTACCTTCTTTGCAAATTCTTTGGCTTCTTTCTGACATTGTTGCTCTAGCTTCTCTACTTTCTTTTGAATCCGTTCATCCATTATCTGAAGTTCTTGAATATGATTTACAAATTCTTCTAATAATCTAATAGCATAAAATTAAAATATGTATCAATCTATTATTAATCATTAAGAACAGAGGACTTATAAAGAAAGTCTTAAGAGTTCCCTCAGCTTGAAATGATCGTGTTAATTTTCTCTACAGCATCTTGTCAGGAATTTCTTCAATCAAAAGATTAAATCTTTCTGTAACTTCATTACTTCCTCAGAGCTTTGACCAGACCACATAGCTTTAAAACAAACATAATGACATTTGAAAATATCGCCAATCTTTATTGACTTTTCAGTGGATTATCACTGAGGTGAATGAAAATCTCACCCAGAATCCTCATTAAACCCACAGAATAAAAACAAATTTTATAGCCGATTTAAAACAGTCGAGAAGGTAAACATACTATGTAAAAAGTATAGTGCATTCCAGAGTTCTGACTTTCTGTTCCCCCCAATTTATGATTATATCTAAAAAAAAATTCAAGTATTTTTAAGAAGTATAATCAATCCTTTCTAATTTATTACTAATTGAAAAAAATATTACATTCTTATACTCAATAAGGGCTCTCCCCTCATAAACAGTGTTTCTTTAGAAGAAATACATGTAAAAACTCAAACTTCTAACTCTCTGTTGGATTATTCGTTATCTTTTATTAGATTATTTGTTATCTTTACTGTTAACTAAAATCCCTTTACAGGAATATTGACATGATTCCCAACAGTTACCTCTATTTGACCCAAATTTGTACCAGACTGACTCGAGGAAAAAAAAAATAGTATGTTTCACACCACCTTTTAGGATCAAAAGCTTCAGGTCCTCCTCTAGAGCCTCCTCCTGGGGTTCTCCATACGAGACGCTCAATATACTCATCTGCCACAAAAGGCTCCTGGTTTATAAAAATAAATATGTTTTAATGAAGTTTCATTGCTTAATATCACTAGTCTGTGAGACCTTCAAATGGAATTAAACTACTATATAAATATGTCTATATTATTAAAATTTACAAAATTTTTAATTAAAAACAATAAATGAAACAAAATGCTTAATAAGAATTAGAATTTGACATATTAGAACAGTATTAGTGACAGTTATAACAACACCAGCAAGCAAAGGACAATTTTTAGGAATCTTTTAGAAAAAAATTTAGAAAACAATTTTTAGAAAAAATAAAAATGACCAAAAAACCATGAAAAAACTGTACAGTCTTAGTAATAGTCAAATAAGATCAAGTTGTCATTATTTCTTAACTTCAAAAACTAAGGAAGTTTTTTTAAAATTATAATGAGCAATGAAACAAAAAGTAAGCTAAAATTTATACTCTATTGTTAGAAATGTCAACAGGTATAACCCTTTTGGAAAACAATTGGTAAAATCAACAGTATTACAAATGCTCATATGGTAACTCCACTTTTAAAATTCCAAGGGAAAAGCAGACATGAACACAATTTTTGCAGAATGTTCACTAAATATTATGTACAATACTGAAAAAAATATTTACATAAATAGTCAACAGAACTACAACTCACAAATCATGGTAAACTTACAGGATGAAAGCCTATGTTTCTATTATAATAATGCAAAAATTTAGAAATGAGAAAAAATGCTAACGTATCTGACGAAAAAAGCAGAATATAAAATTTTCTACATTTTCTCCCCCCAAAAGCATTATCACTTGTTCTCTTTACACTTTTTTTAAAGCATTATTTTAACAAAAAGTAAAGGATATTAGAAGGCCCAACCAAGAAAACGAACATTCAAATGTTCACCTATATTTCTTGACTAATTTACACACTAGCTGGCATACTTTCCATCTAAGCACAATGATATGGTATCATGAAAATGGCTATCATATACTACCTCCTACTCAGCATACAACTTAAACTGGTAGGGTAGTATTTGCCGATGATTCCAGTTTGGACTGTTATATTTATGAATTTCCTCCTTAAATTTTTACATATATAAAATGATAACCTGTTTGAAAATTAAGTCCTAAGTAGTCCTTACAAAGCAAAAATTTGGTCACCCTGAAATGCATACTATAAACTCATTTAGCAACATGGCATCATTTAAGATCTCACTTTTGTTGACACAAAATAGGCAATTTATATATGTAAATTAAGAATTATTAATATAATATCCAGCCACATACACCTAAGGTGGCGGGTTTGAATCCCCAGCCCGGGCCCGCCAAACAACAATGATGGCTGCAACCAAAAAAAATGGCCCGGCGTTGTGGCGGGCGCCTGTGGTCCCAGCTACTTGGGAGGCGGAGGCAGAAGACTCACTTGAGCCCAGGAGTTGGAGGTTGCTGTGAGCTGTGATGCCACAGCACTCTACCCAGGGGGACAGCTTGAGGCTCCGTCTCAAAAAAAAAAAAAAAAAAATATATATATATATAATATATAAAAATTGAAAAATACTAACTCAACACAAACAATGGAAATTTTGTTTAGGGCTACTTAGAACTTTAGAAACTAAGCTACTGAAAATTTTTAGAAAACCTGACAAGAAATACGCCTAAAGAATGAGATGGTGATGTTAGCTAAATTTGTTTATGTGTTTACTATGTATGTGGCAGGCATGCACCCAGCACTTTATATACTTTGTCACATTAAATATGTAATATAAGAAAGTCTATGAGGTAGGTAGGTTCTGTTAATATTGATTAACTTTACACATGTGAAATTAGGTGATAAAATGAAGTTATTTAATTCAAGATCATCATATAGACTTACCTGATTCCCAAGGCATAACTCTTTACTGATAAAATCAAGAGCTTTTTCTTTAAAGAGGGATCAATTACTTTAGCAAGTAATCAGGACTTCCAAAAAGTTCACAATACTTCCATTAAATGTAATTTTATATAGTAATCATGTTCCTTCTATCCTTTTGTTTTTGGTATACATGTTTGTGTAAATAATAACCTTAGTTCATATGTACCACTAATCTCATTTATTATTTAGTATAATTCTTAATTTGATAGGTTATATTATTCATCAATTTTAATGTAGTTTTATTAAATGCTATACATCCAAAAACTAATAAATCAACAAGTAAATATTATAGACATAGTAAAAAATAATGAAGCATTTCTTCAAAGTATTTTCAATTGTGTTCCCTCATTCAACAAACATTGAGGGCCAACCATGTACTAGAAACTATTCTAAATACCAGCAAATAGTAAACAAGATGGAAACAAGATGCTCCTCTGAATCTAATAGAGGAGAGTGACAGACAAATAAGCAGAAAAATGATAAGGTAATAAGAACCATGAAGAAAACTAAAGAGAATACAGAGATGGGTAAGAGTGGGATTATTTTTGATACAGTCATCAGGCAAAGACTTTTTAAGAAAATAAATTTTAAGCAAAAAACTATCTGCAGCTAAGTAGCCAACTGGGGAAGGAATACTCTAAGCACAGGGACCAGTCATAGGAAGCAAACAACCACAAGAGGCCAGTATGACTGGAGTGAGTAAATGGGAGAATCGCTGTGGATACAGCAAACAGAAGCATGAGAATCCAGAGTTTGCACCGAAGTTTTATAAGGTGTACTATGACATAGACCCTGTTAGTGACTGAAGAAAAAGCCAGGTTCCCAAGAGGAAGGTACCTGCAATTTGCTGGCAAATACGTACAATAATAATTCTTCTATTCCTTCTTTCAAAAAGAGCTGTAACAATTTACTTTAATACACTAAGGAAAGGGGAACATACTTAAAACATTTTGAAATCCGTTGGATACAGGGTCCTAGTTAATACTGGTACTTAACTGACCCAAAGCATCATGAAATCTGTGAGAACATACGGTGGCCAAGTAATAAACAGAGTCCCATCCAAGATCTAGCACAGCATAGTCCAAGGGTTTCATGAGCCCACCTAGTGGCCATTTCCATGGTCTACAAACACATACCAGGAAAAAACACACTCAGTGGCTGATGCAAGTCCAATACTGACTGGGTTCCTGGACTATACTATAAGAGCTATTATAGTGAGAAAGCCCAAACACAAGTCTCTAAAACTGCCCCTGTCTAATCAAGGTAGTTTATCATGAGGGATGGCAAAAATTAATGCCACCCGCTAGGGAACTAAAGCAGAGGTCTGCAATTTTTTCCTTAAAGGACCAGACAGCAAATGTTTCAGACTTGCAGATCATCAACTCTCTGATGCAACAGTTCTACTTTGCCATTGTGGTACACAGACAATAGACAATTTTAAAATAAGCATGGCTATGTATCAATAAAACTTTAAAAACAGAAAATGTTGTTTTCTAAAAATGATGAAAATGATGGAGAGGTAGTAACAAAATTTGTCTCCCCACCTAGATAGTGGTTATACTGGCTGAATCGGTCTAATGTAACTATTTTGGACCTCTGTAGTCTATGGAAGGCTTAGACAATAAAATGTGATTAATTTCAGTCCATTTCAGCACAGTAGCAACTACCCAGGCTCCATGCCAGCCCTGTAGCAGACAGCTGTGTACATAATCCTGAAACAATCTGCAGTTTGTGAAAGCCAGAGTAGGGAAAAAGGACCCTGTCCTGCAAATATCAGGGATCTGTGCTCTGATCCCTAATTGCTGCTTCTGATCAGAGAGGTATAAAGCGGCTTGTGGCCTTTGTTGTTGGGCCTCCCTCCATTTTTGCAAGACCCTCTCCCTCTGGATGGAGGGAATGTCACAGTATTTATTTTTTTATTTCTGGTTAATGTGAGGGTACAAACAACTAGGTTACAATGTTTGCATTTGTTAGGCAGAGTTCCTCTTGTAGTTGTGTCCCACTGTCAGAAGATTTACAGTGCTAGCACCTGTTTTTTTTTTTTTATCATTTCCCTTCATTTTTCCCTTTCACCTCTTTTATAAGTCAGATATTAAAACTGGAACATTCAAAAGCAATTGCATATATGGGGGAAAGTAAAAAATGATATACATGCCCAGGGATATACACAGGCTCAGATAAGAGCTGAAAAGATCTTAAGTTTATGATCGCGGCATAGAGACAGCCTACAACAGTTAACACACACACAAACAAAAATAAGCAAACCCTGGGAAAAGGGAAGAATCTCATTTCCAGAATTACCACATTATTAGATCCAAATGTCCAATTTTCAACAACAAAAAAGTCACAGGCATAGAAACACACAGGAAACACAGCCTAGTCAAAGGAAAAAACATAACTTCCCCTAAGAAAAACCTGATGATAGATCTTTTACTCAGAAGACTTCAAAACTACCTTAAAGATGTTCAAACAATCAAATAAGATGATGGAACTACCAATAAAGAGACACAAAACTTAAAAAGAAACCAAAAAAAAAATTTTAAAGCTACAAAGTATAATTAACTGATATGAAAAAAATTACTAGAGGGATTCAAAGGCACATTTGAGCAAGCAGAAGAAAGAATCAGCAAACTTGAAGGTAGGACAATGGAAATTACTGACTGAGAAAAAGAAGTACTGAAGACAAGTGAACAGATAAACAGATCAACAGCAGACTATGGAAATCCCAGGAAAAGAGGAAAAGAAACCATAAGAATGTGGGTCAGTGGGCAGGGCGCCAGCCCCATATACCGAGGGGGTAGGTTCAAACCAGGCCCCAGCAAACTGCAACAAAAAAATAGCCTGACATTGTGGTGGGCGTCTGTAGTCCCAGCTACTTGGAAGGCTGAGGCAAGAGAATCACTTAAGCCCAGGAGTTCGAGGTTGCCATCAGCCGTGATGCCACGGCACTATACCGAGGGCGATATAGTGAGACTCTGTCTCTAAAAAAATAAAAACTAAAAAAAAACCTTAGCAAATTTGGAAAAAAAGACATACTATAAACACACAAGAAACTCAACAGAATCCAAGTAACACGCAAGAAACTCAACAGAATCCAAGTAAATGAATTCAA